TTTCATGTGGTAAAAGTTTTTTTTTCATACTTGTGGGTGTCTTGCAGGGATTAATTTGATTTCCATTATTTCTTATGGGGAAAAATAATTCGCTTTCCAATAATTTTGGGTTACGATGAGCTCTCAGGAATGGATTAATATCGCGAACCGGGGGTCCACTGTATTACTTTAATGTCACCTTTGCACCATTTATAACATTTCTGGTATATTTTTAACCGTTTGATTGTTGCAAGCCCCAATCCTTAAGTGTCTCCTGATGTCTAGAAATATTTAAAAAAAAAAAAAAAAATTCTTATGAAAATGCTAAGATTATTTTTGATTGTTTCAGTCCAAAATATTTTTTTTGCCATCAGTACTTACCGAGATATAGAGGCGTGAAGTTGGTAGAAAATGAGCCGCGTATGGCAACAGCGGCAACTTCCGCTCACCCGGTAAAGTTTGGTTTACTTATATTCATTTTTTTTTTTTCACTATTTTATTTTTTTCACATAACTTATGTGGCCTGCGAGTCCAAAGTAAGGTGCAATGTACATATATACACTCGTATACAACACAATAAGTGCACAAACAATTATCAATATATTGTTTGCAAAACTTTTTACACAAATGCAAAAAATTGTTTATTACTATTGTTTTATAATATATATATACAAATGTATAGTCACTGGATATGTTCCTAAAAGTTCTGAAGCTTGTGGAACTCTTTGAAACATGGTTTCATACACAATGGTGTTTTACACTCCTTACACATAAAATGAGTGTGTCTGCATTTTTGTGGGCATTAGCAGGCAGTTGTGTTACGTAGTTATCCTAGGTAAATGGTCGTGTGTCATCATTCCTTCCTTCCTTACTTACTTTTTTCTTTCCTTTCTTTCATCTCATCCTTCCTTCCTTCCTGCCTGCCCTTCTTCCTTCCTTCTGGCTTTATATAATATATATACACATATATAGTCACTAGATACTTTCATATAACTGCTATTATCTTCATTCAGTAAGCCTGTCTTGTGTATGAGTGTGTGGCTTTAACTATTTTGAGTCAGCTGTCAAAAAGACATCATGTCATTACTCCCTCCCCGTACCGCCTGTCAAAACAATGGGGTCAGATGCTCCCTTCCCCTCCATTATATGTAATTATCTTTCTCCCTCATTCTCTCTCTCTCTCTCCTTCATTCTTCTGGTATCCTGGGTATTGCTTTTGATCATTAACTCCTCAAAACCATGAAACTGATCTTCACTGACACTTCCATCTGTGTTAGAGCATCACATGGGAAGAGTAGAGTCCCAGATTTGCCGGGGAGTCACATATTTCTTACCGTTAGGCATGCTGAACAAGGACTACTGAAATGGCATTCCCACAATGCACCACTGGCTCCCCATTTTTTTTTTATATGGTGCACACTGACCATGGAGGCCCATTCTCTCATGTGGGCCTACCAGCTTTCTCCTGCTTGATTTGAAGCTGCTAGAATTTATGCATTTTAATACGTCAAACACGGTGGCTTGTAAGACGTATATATACAACCGAAAGAGTCAAAGGGTTAAATATTCATACAGTAGTGTACTGTATACTGAAATAAACAGAATAGAGGAAATCAGCTCTAATATACATTATTTAGGTGGCAATACTGGTAAGAGCCTGTTGTAAGTCCGAGGCATTGGTAAACAAGTACGTTGCTAAGCGGGGAGAGGCTGTATATACAGAACTGACACTCCTCTAGGCACTGCTCCCCTTCCCTACATTCTCCCACAGGGGGGGGAGGGGTTGTTAACCATTCTGGAAAATACCCATATTTTCCATGCTTTAGCACTTTTCTTGCCAAACTATTTTTTTTTTTTTTTTTGGTATTAGACAGCCAATCAACAAAATCTCCCCCATCCTTCCCAGCTCAGCAACAAACAGTATAACATTACTACTTTGTTTAAAAATATAAAAGCTTTGCTAAAACAAAATTCTTCATACAAGACTAAATTATAATAATGTAAATGGCAAGAAAAAATTGCCAGCCTATTATGTATATCAAGAATTTTGTTTTAGCAAAGCTCTGTTATATTTTTAAAGCAATTATATAGTAATGTTATACTGTTGCTGAGCTGAGAAGGATGGGGGGAAAACTTTGTTGGTTGGCAGTCTTAAAAAGTTTGTTGGAGTATTTTTTTCCATTGTTCATGTGATTTTTATATACAGTGGTCCCTCATTTATCGTCGTTAATCTGTTCCTGGAAGTGCGACGATTATCGAAATAGACGATTTTCGAATCAATTTTCCCCATAAGAAATAATGTAATTACAATTAATCCGTTCCTGACACCCAGAAGTATTAAAACAAAATTTTTTTTTGCATGAAATATAGATGTAGTACATAAACAATACAAGGGGACATGATGAATGAAACATTAACAGCATAACACTTACCTTCATTGGCGATTCTTCTTAGTGTATAGAAGACTGGAGGAGGAGAGACATTGGATTAGTTACTGTTTGGAAGGGGAATCCCCTTCCATCAACACCTCAGGTACCAAGTGCTTTTCTAGGATTACTTCTCTTCTCTGTTTCTTAACCCTTTCAGGGTCCGTCCCGTAGATCTACGGCTTTACGGTGAGTGTCCAAACCGTAGATCTACGCCATGAGCTCAGCTCACTCTGATAAACTGTGAGTGGTACATTTGGGCCTAGATATGAGAGAATACATCTATGTGGTATGTGTGCACCACATAAAACAAATCCTGCAGCACACTGTGTATAATGAGAGAAAAAAACTGAAATCATGATTTTTCGATTAAAACAGCAACTTTGCAGTGTTTTTTCGTATGTTTTTTATAGTTGTATTTGCGATTTCTTGGTCTCATTTGATAGAATGGAAGACATATTACAGAAATAGAGATGATTTTGATTGGTTTTAGCACTGGAAATGGCTTGAAACTGAGCTCAAAGTAGCGGAAATGTTAAATTTTTGCCGATATTCAAGAGTAAACAAACGACCTCACACATCTAATACACGTCAGCTGGTGGGTCTAATATACATTCACAAATATGGTGATGATATTTATACAATTATTACAGTATTTGCATAACAGTAAATCTTCTATTTTTTGGTGTGAATAAAAATTCATTATGTGAATAAAAAATCAAAATAGAATTTATTTGTAAAGCCTCAAAATGTAACTAATAAACAGAGGAAATGTTAGTTTAGTTCCAGGAATACCTACATTGTTTATTCTGGAGCCTATTTTGAAATTGGAATATTTTGAACTTTGTGTTAAATTGGCCAAATTAACAATTTCCGATCACTTTATTTTGTAGTTGAAACAGTTGATTTGGCGATTTCTTGTGCTCAATTGATAGAATAGAAGTAATACTAGTGAAATAGCTAAGAATTTGGTTGATTGGAATAATGTAATTGGCCTAAAATGGTAGTCAAAGTCGGCAAAATCGCCGACTCGTAAATATCGCTGACACGTCAAAATTCGCGAGAGCATAATTTCGTCAATTTTCCACCAAATTTCGTACTTTTTGTTTTATTACCTAAACAAAAAGATTCTCTACGATTTCATAAGAAAAAATAACAAATTTTTTTTTTGAAAATTCTTGGACACTGGTGCGTGACTTCAGATTTTGGCCTTGGACCCTGAAAGGGTTAATGCCACTAGGACCAGCTTGAGAGTCACTGGAGTCCTGTCTCACAAAAAAAAGTGTCCAGAGGGCTCTGTTTCTGGTGTCTCTTTAAAACTTCCCTAAAAAGGGCCAAGACTCTGTCACTGTACAAGTTACCGATATGGCTTGCAACATCCTTCTCAGGAATTTGTTTCTCCATAAATCTTTCCATCCTACCCCACATTTCAAAAATCTCCTTAATTTCTGAAGAAGGCACCTTCTTCCATCTCTCTTCCTCCTCCTCCTCCTCTGCAGCAAGATTCTGAGCTGCGATTTGTTCCTGTTCCTGCTGAACCTCTTGCAGCTCCTCAGCTGGCCAGTTCGGCCACACGTACGCCACTTTCATATTGTTCAATGAAGTTTTTCTTAAATTCAATTGTGTTTCTCACTTTCTTTACCAAAGAAGGAGCTTTCTTTGGAGCCATGGTAGCTTATTTAGCACTTGCAAGCACTAAAATGAATGGAATATTATGAAATATTTCGTATGAACAAGTGAGGGGACCGTCGCTCACTGGTAAACAATGGCACACTGGCTGGGAAGGGAGGCCGAGGCGGCTCAGAGCGTGAGTACACGTCCCGGATGAAGGACGATTAGTGAGTAAACCGACCATTTGCTAGCCCATGTTTGGACGAGAATAACGCGACGATTTCCGAAAAGGACGACTATCGAGCCGGACAATTATTGAGGGACCACTGTACTCTGCATCTTTTGTACGGAATGCTAGACAGTCTGTGTCAGAGTATAGTCTCTCACTGAGCTATAGAACATTTTTGGGTTAAAAGTATTTCCAGGTCATGCAAATACTTTCGACCAAAATTTACTGCTCACAGCATATCTGAGCGAGCCGAGCTCACTAAAGAACTACGAGAGACCTTGGCCTTATGAGATGATCACTGAAAAGGTCTACAAACTGGCCACTACCCTACCTTTTAAAACAACTGTATCAACCACAAAGGTGTAACACTTGTTAAATCAGTTATGTGTAAATAACTTTGAACAAACTGTCTGCTGTAAGACTGCTGATTAACTCACAGCCTGCCCAACACACACTTCTAAATAATGAAGAGTGGGTTGTGGAGAGAGAAAAGGTGTGAGGTAGGAGGGAAGGGGAGATTAAATGGAGCTGGGTTGGGCAAGAGTGAGTCACAAAGAAAAGTAGTGGACCCTCACCTAATGCTATTAATTGGTACCCGAGAACGAATATCGTTAGGCGAGTTTTTTAGTGTTAGCCGAGGCAAAAGTTAGTGTTAAAATGTATCGTTAGGCGAATTTAACGTTATGCGATGCGTTCGTTAGGCGAGGGTCCACTGTAATGTACATATACTATTTACTCTTAGAATGCTAACTTACCTCTTTCTCTTCTTGCCCCTGGACGAAAAATGATGTTTAAGGCTTGTGTTTGATGTGATCATGATGCGAGACTGGTTTGGCAAGTTGGAGTCGAGAACCCCAAGACATTTACGGTTCTCACAAGAGGCCTAGAAAATATATTACAAGATATAATATTGGCTTTCAGAAATTCTGGGCTAGCTTCACTTAGGCTGCAGGCTGGGATGGGAGGGTAGAAAAATTAAACCAGTCACAGTTAAGCCTAGTGGTTGTTTTGGGAAATGTCTTGGGATAGAATTCAGTTTCACACACAGAGGGGAATGATTATTTTATTGTGAAAGAGTGGTTTAGTGAAGTGATATGACCTGCTGGCTTTGAGAAATATGGGTTAAACTGTTAAACAATTGATTGTCCTCCCTTCAGGTAAATAATCAAACCTGTAATTCCTCTCAATTAAACTTCTTAAAGCTATATAGCATGGACTAAGAACAATCAATTCTATTGCATTCAGTGTAAACTCCTATGTCTGATGCAATTATTGGGATGCCTTAAACCACGACCAATCAGGCACAACACAAGACCAAGCTCTCTGACATACCCAGTGTCCGACTCACTATTTATTTATTTATTTATTTATTAATTTGAACATGATACACAGAAGTATAAGGAAATACAGTGGTTAAGTGTAACATGCCAAAGCCCCTTGTATGCAGAGCATTATGGGCAGGCTTAAAATTAACTTAAGATTAACTAAGCAATGATATATTCAGTGGTATACATTGTTGTAAACAGTTAACAATTAATCACAAATGAGTATTTCAAAGACAGGTCATATGGTCATTTACTGGGTTGCTGTGCATTCAGCAGCATGGAGTATTCTGTTAGGTAATGTAATTAAAAATAACAAAGTTTGATTGGGTCACAGGTTAAACATTTATGAGAAAATTATTCAGTATTTATTTAGTTGTGGGTGAGTAAGTGATTTTTAAGAAGAGACTCGAATTTATAAACAGTGTTTCTTTTATATTCACAGGTAATGAATTCTAGATTTTTGGGCCTTTTATGTGCATCGAGTTTTTGCATAGTGTGAGATGGACACGAGGAATATCAAAGAGTGATCTGTGCCTTGTGTTATGGTCATGTGTTCTGTTGAGGTTATTAAGGAGACGTTTGAGGGGAGGGTTTATATCCGAGTTGAGTGTTCTATGTATGTAGTGGGTACAATAATAAGTATGGATGTTTTGTATGGTGAGTAGGTTTAGAGTTTTAAATATTGGTAGAGTGTGCTGCCTGTAGTGGGAATTTGTTATTCTGACTGCAGCCTTTTGTTGGGTAATTAATGGCTGGAGATGGTTTATTGTTGTTGAGCCCCATGCACAAATGCAATGCATTGAATTCTTTGCCCAAACCAGCAAAAGGTCCCTTGTCTGCCAATCAATTTGAAGCTGTTTAAAATATCACCTTATCTCCCTAATGTGACTAAACCAACACTTATATCAAACAAATGCAGCTAATCCAACTATTCCTGTTCTTCCAGTCTTAAACTCCCCTAGAAAATTACTCATCTTGTTCCATTATACGTAATTCTACAGACACCTAACAAACTTCCTGTTTCTTCATCTCTTACAATCGTTCCATAGCATGAAGACAGAGCCAGTTGAAAACTGGCTTAAGAAATCCCAATTAACTTAAGATCACTAAGACAGTGATCATTTGGCTACCTTTCTGTACATAAAAAACTACTTAATCTGTTTAGTTTAAGTAGTCTGTAAGCATTAGGATTAGTCTGCCTGAAGTGCACTATATGTTAGTGGCTTTCTTTTGAGCTTAATATAACATGCTTAACAGTTCCTAGTTATATTTTATTATCCAAGAAGTAGGTTAAGTCTTTGGAGATGCCTGGGGACATGATTAATGAAGAGAAGATATGTTTTAGTGCCTGAAATGCCTAGAATTCTTATTTTAAACTTTTTAATTTTTCATAAAATTGGCAGTTACCTACTTCTGTGCACTTCAGCTTAATGGGTGGTTTCTCGTACTCAACTGATGAAACAGAAGGCACACTAGCAAATTAGCTAAGAATTTAGTTGAAGTGAGCACTGGAATTTGCTTAAAATAGGGTTCCAAGTCAGCTAAATCACCAATGCCTAAATTGTGCTCGGACTGCTAAATTTGCATCTTCCCAATTCCAAAGTTTTCCATCAAATTTCTTATTTTTGGTATTACCTTCAGATTCTGTACCAATTAAGAATTTTTTTTTTTGGGAAAAAATGTTGACAATACATTTAATTTTGGGGGCCCAGACTCACTGTGTAAAGATTAGGACATACACACGGACACACACACACAACACAACACGGGGGACACACACACGGGGACACACACACATGGGGACACACACAGTGAGAGTGAAAAGGTTAATAAGCAAAAGGAGAAAGGAAAAATAAAATACACAACAAAGGAAGGTGGCAGTAGTAGGCCTGCTGAAGCAGTGACGTCACAACAGTTGTTTGCCATTATACATATAAAGTGTAACACCGAATGTGAAGTGTATTCTGTCATAAGTGAAAAGTGAAATCACTTGAGGATCGCGGGATGCATAAGCATATATGGTTATAAACATCACGGATGAAGGATTTACAAAACAGTGATAGAAGGCCTATGTACTACGACTACGTCATCAGCATCTGGCAACTTGTCATCACACCGCTGCCAGCGCAAGTATTGCTCACCTGTTGAGGTTGTATGTTGCAGGGTTCTGAGTTCTGGTCTTGCATCACTGTTAGATACTGGTCACTCACTCCTGCAAGCTATTACAAGATTGATGGACTGAACACATCGACTTCAGGTTGAGGGACTGATTACCTCATTCTCCTCCTCTCCTTATGCCTTCCTCTTTGTATTGGACTGATGAAGCCACTGTGTGGCGAAACGTTTCCTGAATAAAGATTCCCATATGCTGCATAAGTGTCTCAATCTTCAACTTGTCGGTTTTTAAAACCATTCATCACAACTGTCAGACACTGCAGCATCATGGGATCTTGTTACAAAGAATTCTTCAACACTTGTTCAACCTTTGGACGAAGACCTACTTCGACTAGTGGATGGTACCACTATGACCCCGCCTCCGCCTGCTTCACCTCACCTCACTACAGTATATAAGCCACGTCTACGGCCCTATGCTGTACATTCTCTCTCTCTCTCTCTCCCCCCTCCCCTCTCTCTCTCTCTCTCCCCCCCTCCCCTCTCTCTCTCCTCCCCCCCCCTCCTCTCTCTCTCCCCCCCCCCCCCTCTCTCTCTCTCCCCCCCCCCTCCTCTCTCCTCTCCCCCCCCCTCCCCCTCTCTCTCTCCCCCTCCCTACCTACCTACCTCTCTCTCCCCTCCCTACCTACCTACCTACCTCCCTCCCTCCCTCCCTCCCCACCTCCCCTCTCTCCCTACCTCTCTCTCTCTCTCTCCCTACCTACCTACCTACCTCTCTCTCTCCCCTACCTACCTCTCTCTCTCTCTCTCTCTCTCTCTCTCTCCCTACCTACCTACCTCTCTCTCTCTCCCTACCTACCTCTCTCTCCCTACCTACCTCTCCTCCCTCTCCCCCTCCCCTCATCCTCTCTCCTACTCCCCTCCTCCCCTCTCTCTCTCCCCCCCTACCTACCTACCTCCCTCTCTCTACCTCCTCCCTACCTACCTCCCTCCCCCCTACCTACCTACCTACCCTACCTACCTACCTCCCTCCCTACCTCCCTCTCTCTCTCTCTCTCTCTCCTCTCCCTACCTCTCTCTCTCTCCCTACCTCTCTCTCTCCCCTACCTCTCTCTCTCCCTACCTCTCTCTCTCTCCCTACCTCTCTCTCTCTCCCTACCTCTCTCTCCTACCTACCTACCTCTCTCTCTCTCCCTACCTACCTACCTCTCTCTCTTTCCCTACCTACCTACCTCTCCCTACCTACCTACCTACCTACCTCTCTCTCTCTACCTACCTACCTCTCTCTCTCTACCTACCTCTCTCTCTCTACCTACCTACCTCTCTCTCTACCTACCTCTCTCTCTACCTACCTACCTCTCTCTCTACCTACCTACCTCTCTCTCTACCTACCTACCTCTCTCTCTACCTACCTACCTCTCTACCTACCTACCTACCTCTCTCTCTACCTACCTACCTCTCTACCTACCTACCTACCTCTCTCTCTACCTACCTACCTACCTCTCTCTCTCTACCTACCTATCTCTCTCTCTCTACCTATCTCTCTCTCTACCTACCTCTCTCTCTACCTACCTACCTATCTCCCTTTTCCCCCATCTCTCCCCTCCCCCCTCTCTGCCCTCTCTCCCCCCCTTTCTCTCTCTCCCCCCTTTTTCCCTCTCTCTCTCTCTCTATGTATCTCTCCCCCATTTTCCGTTCTAACTCTCCCCCTCTCCTACCCTTCCCTTCTCTCTCACTCTCTCCCCCTTTTTCCTTCTCACTCTCCCCCCCTCTCTCCTACCTTCCCTTCTCTCTCTTTCCCCCTCTCTCACTCTCCCCCTTTCCCTTCTCTCTCCCCCCCATCTCCCCCCTCTCTCTCACACTAAAAAAAAAAAAAAAATGGGGACTCGCAGGAACCAGGGATCAGATGAGAATGGTCCTGGTAGGGAGGCGTGGAAGGAGGAGCAGTGGAAAAGGATGGAACAAGAGTGGGAGATAAAATTCGGAGAGCTTTTTGAAAAAATGGAGAGAGCTCTCTGAAAATGGAAAAGAGGTTGGAGAAGGAGACAATGAATTGGGAGGCACAAGTCGAAACTGCAGTGGCTAGGTTAAGGGTCCTAGAAGTTGAGATAAATAAGCTGAAGCGAGTTAAAGGGGCAGTGACCAGAGAAGACACAGCATATGAAGCTGAGAGGCTGAACAGGAAGGATGGAGATATGAATTATGCTAAGGTCATATCAGCCTGCCAAGGAGTGAAAGGGAAGAACAGCTGGGTGCAGATGGAGAGGGTGATAGGTCGAATGCTGAGGCACAACCATGCTACCAAGAGCCACTGGAAAAAATCAAGGGAGAAAATGGCCACATACAGACAGGATCCAGAGTCACAGAGGGTGAGGCAATGGAAGGAGGAAAGGGCAAAATCAGTGTTTATCCATGGGCTTCAGGAGAGAGAGAGAGGAAAGGACACACACTGAAAGGCAGCAGGAAGAGAGGAGATAGAGAAAATCATCATGGAAATAGGTGAAGAAGACATGGACGAGATTGTAAATTTTCAGAGAATAGGGGGGTACTCAAAGGGGAGAAACCGACCGATCAAGCTGATTCTAAGGATGGAAACAGCGTGGAACAGGATCCTCCAAGAGAAACCATGGTTGAAATACTCGGAAGAGTACAAGAGTGTGTTCCTAGACAGAGACAGAACATAAACAGAACGACATCAGCTGAGGGAGAGGACAAAAAAGCAAAAGGAGCTAGGAAAGGAGACAAGGATGGAACCAGCAGAGGTCAGTCAGAGCAACAAGGGCAAGCACACACACAACTATCCTCAGAACCCCACAACCTATCACACCATCCCAACACACACTACAATCCATACCCACAGCTTCCACCCAACACCGAGCTATAGAATCCCACAGTATGCTACCAGGTCTCCCATCCTCACAGGCCCCCAAACCACAGTGTTGGAAACGAAACTGAAGGTATGGTACACAAATGCTGATGGAATAACAAATAAGTGGGAGGAGTGGCACGAAAGAGTCAAAGAGGCATCACCGAACATCATAGCTCTCACAGAAACCAAGCTTACATGTATGATAACAGATGCCATCTTTCCAATGGGATACCAGATCCTGAGGAAAGACAGAGGAAACAAGGGGGGGGGGGGCATTGCTAATCAAAAACCGATGGAATTTTGATGAGCTGGATAGAGGAGACAGCGGAAAATAAAGTTAATACATAGCGGGAATGCTTCATTCTGGAGGTCGCAAGGTGGTAACAGCAGTGATGTATAACCCACCACAGAACAGCAGGAGGCCAAGGCAAGAGTACGACCAGAGCAATAGAGCGATGGTTGCTGTAGTGGCCAATAGATCTCATGCATGCAGGGCAAAGCTCCTGATCATGGGTGACTTTAGCCACAAGGAGATTGATTGGGAGAATTTGGAGCCACATGGGGCCAAGATACATGGAGGGCTAAGATGATGGAGGTGGTACTGGAAAACTTCATATACCAACACGCAGGAAGGCCAGGACGAATGAAGCCAAACTACAAGAAAGGGGACTACACAGGAATGAGGAACCTCCTGAACGGGGTTCAGTGGGACAGAGAACTGGCAGGGAAGCCAGTTAATGAGATGATGGAATATGTAGCAACAATATGCAAGGAGGCTGAGGAGAGGGTTGTACCCAAGGGTAACAGGAATAATGAAAAAGCCAGGATGAGCCCATGGTTCACCCAAAGGTGCAGGGAGGCAAAAACCTAGTGTGCTAGGGAATAGAAGAAATATAGAAGGCAAAGGACCCAGGAGAATAAGGAGAGCAGTCGTAGAGCCAGAAACGAATATGCACAGATAAGAAGGGAGGCCCAACGACAATATGAAAACGACATAGCAGCAAAAGCCAAATCTGACCCAAAACTGTTATACAGCCACATCAGGAGGAAAACAACAGTCAAGGACCAGGTAATCAGGCTAAGGAAGGAAGGAGGAGAGACAACAAGAAATGAGTGTGAAGTATGTGAGGAACTCAACAAGAGATTCAAAGAAGTGTTCACAGAGGAGACAGAAGGGGCTCCAGAAAGACAGAGGTGGGGTACACCACCAAGTGCTGGACACTGTATACACAACCGAGGAAGAAGTGAAGAGGCTTCTGAGTGAGCTAGATACCTCAAAGGGAATGGGGCCAGATAACATCTCCCCATGGGTCCTGAGAGAGGGAGCAGAGGCGCTATGTGTACCCCTAACAACAATATTCAATATATCTATCGAAACAGGGAGATTGCCCGAAGCATGGAAGACAGCAAATGTAGTCCCAATTTTTAGAAAAGGAGACAGACATGAAGCACTAAACGACAGACCCTTGTCACTGACATGTATAGTATGCAAAATCATGGAAAAGATTATCAGAAGAGTGGTGGAACACCTAGAAAGGAATGATCTCATCAACAGCAGCCAACATGGTTTCAGGGACGGGAAATCCTGTGTCACAAACCTACTGGAGTTCTATGACATTACCTGGAGTTTACCTGGAGAGAGTTCCGGGGGTCAACGCCCCCGCGGCCCGGTCTGTGACCAGGCCTCCTGGTGGATCAGAGCCTGATCAACCAGGCTGTTGCTGCTGGCTGCACGCAAACCAACGTACGAGCCACAGCCCGGCTGATCCGGAACTGACTTTAGGTGCTTGTCCAGTGCCAGCTTGAAGACTGCCAGGGGTCTGTTGGTAATCCCCCTTATGTGTGCTGGGAGGCAGTTGAACAGTCTCGGGCCCCTGACACTTATTGTATGGTCTCTTAACGTGCTAGTGACACCCCTGCTTTTCATTGGGGGGATGGTGCATCGTCTGCCAAGTCTTTTGCTTTCGTAGTGAGTGATTTTCGTGTGCAAGTTCGGTACTAGTCCCTCTAGGATTTTCCAGGTGTATATAATCATGGTGACAGCAGTAAGACAAGAGAGAGAGGGGTGGGTGGATTGCATTTTCTTGGACTGCAAGAAGGCGTTTGACACAGTTCCACACAAGAAGATTGGTGCAAAAACTGGAGGACCAAGCAGGGATAACAGGGAAGGCACTACAATGGATCAGGGAATACTTGTCAGGAAGACAGCAGCGAGTCATGGTACGTGGCGAGGTGTCA